GTGCGACCGACTAGAAGAAAGAGACAAAGATGTTTTAGTTTGTGCATGCAGGACATGTGCAATAGATTGTGGTACATGTTTAGTAGAATTGAGGAGAAACACAAGAATCACAGAGGCAACACTAAATACATACTGGACAACAGTAGTACCAGATGGACTTACCAAGGAACAAGTTGAAAGAGAACAACTACTTGATGAACACATAATGCCTATTATGATAGCAATAAGAGAAGGGAAGCGTCCCAGTTTCCAGGAAATAGCTGAGTATGGCAGCAAAACAAGGGCACTATGGTACCAGTTCAAATCGTTAACCCTCAAAAATGGGTTACTGTACAGAAGGTTTGAACATCCATCAGGGCTGAAAGAGAAAGAGGAACTGCAATTAATTTTGCCACAAAAGTTGGTAAAACAGACAGTAAAGGTATATCATGAGCAACTAGGGTTAGGAAACCACTTTGGTGTAACCAAAACATTAGCTTATCTGAAAAGTTTCTTTTGGTGGGCAGGAATGTTCAATGATGTCTATGAGTTGATCACCAACTGCATGACATGCGCCAAGTACAAAGGGCCAAACCAAATGACCAAAGTTCCGTTGAAACTCTTCCAGGAAGGGGTACTCCACGGAAGATGGCATGTTGATATCTGTGGGCCAATAAATCCAAAAAGTTCAGACGGGCATGAGTACATATTAGTGGCAGTAGAAGCTTTTTCTGGCTGGCCTGTGGTTGTACCTATGTACAAGCAGACAGCAGAAGAAATAACACAAGCACTAATCACGCATGTATTTTCCATCTTTGGAGCACCACAATCACTACTCACCGATCAAGGAAAAGCCTTTGATTCACTCCTATTTCAAGAGATAATGGAGCTGTACAGCATCAGAAAGTACAGAACCACTGCATTCTATCCTGCATCAAATGGAAAAGCAGAAAGGTGGATCAAAACATTGAAGCAACACTTGATGATTCTCATTGAAAATGACAGAAAACAATGGCCAAAGTACCTACCATTTATCGCGCAGGCGTACAGAAACCTTCCGCACTCATCCCATAAGTTCTCTCCATACGAAGTGATGTTTGGAGCACCAATGAGAACACCATTAGATATGGAAAGGGGTGAACCACCGAGGTTAGGTACCATGAACAAGGATTATCCGTTTTGGGTACGGGAGACAATGCACAGAATCCATGATGCTGTAGCTAACATGACAAAGAAAGCTGCTAAACGAATGAAGGAATATTATGACAGAAATGCATCACTAGCACCATTTAAGGAGGGAGATAGAGTGTTTCTCTACTACCCTAGACGAAAGAAAGGTGTATCCACAAAACTACTTACTAGATGGGAAGGACCGTACCTTCTACTGGACGCGATAAATGATTGCAACGCCCGTATACAACACACGCTTAACCCCAACAAAAAGTTAATTGTACATATGGATCGGTTAGCCAAATGCCCAGATGAAGATGAAACGGGAGTTTTAGATCTGGGTAATGCTTGGTTAACATACGTAGCAGAGGCGGAAACAGAGGCCGAGTAGTCGCCATCTTGGGATTCGAGATCTCGAGATAGCGACTGGGAACTGGCCGAAGGAAGTCACCAAACAAATGCGAATCGCGCCGTCGGATTCAAAACAAGTGACACAGGTGCATTGTTGTGAGAAGTTAAGCGTCGGTAGCGGAGTAAGCGAGTAAAGTAAACGAGTAAAAGTGATTTGGAAAGTGGAAATTCAAGTAAAATGGAGCAAGATCAAGTGCCAGAAAGAAGAAGTACTTTCGCTAATTTAAAAATAGTGCAAAGGAAAACTGGAGAAGAAAGGAGAATTCTACAAGCCAAGGTAGAGGCAAGGGTAACGCAAACCAAGCCAGCGGACCCAAAAGAGTTGGAGGAAAAAGTGCAAAGGGTGAAGGAAAAGTTCCGCAAAGACGAAGAGCAGAGACAGGTAATATTGATGAAAAAGGCACCAGCAGCGAAGCAGTTGAGGAGGAAGTTAGCTCCTGAGGCAGCAGCGTCCCCAGCAAAAATAAGCAGAGTGGAAATGTTGTTAGAAAGAGTGGAACAGGATAAGGAAAGAAAAGCAAAGAAAGCAAAGGACTTGGCAGAGTCAGACCTGAGCTGGATGGAAATGGTAGAAGAGGAAGAAAAAGGAGAAAATAAAGAAGCCATGGAAGTTGAGGAAAATGAGCATGTGTGCCTGCCAGGAATGTGCACAGTAGAGGTGAGGAAAGAACCTGTACCAATAAGCTCAAGCTCAAGCTCAAGCTCCAGCTCCAGCTCAAGTTCAGCAAGTGAAAGTGATAGTGAGGAAGAAGGAGAAGGTAAAGCCAAAGTGAGCGGGTTTGAAAAAGAGTTACAAGAATTACAAGAGAAGATGGAAACAACAGAAATGGAAAACCTGCAAAGTGAGGTGGAAGAAACAGAGGAAGAAAAGCAAATAAATGAGATGATAAGTAAGGAGGAGGAGGAAATTGCTAAAATTACAGAAAAGTTGGAAGAGTTAAATAAAAACAAAGCAGAATGGAAGTTGCACAAAATAGATGAGGAGTACTTGTCAAAACCAACGCCAAAAGCAGAATGGGCAGAAGCACCACAAAAGAAGAAACAGGAAGAGCAGGGGAAGAAGAAATTCCATCCAGAGGATCCTCGGTTCCAGCTGCGTTGCAGAAAATGTAACCAGAGGGGACATCAGACATCAACATGCACTGGAGAAAAAAGGAGGAGAAAGCATTAATATAAGTCCTGTTCATTTAAATTGGAAGTCAACGGTAATGTTTGTTTAAAAGTTTAAATAAAGTTGTAACCATTGTTTGTGAACCATGTGCGTTATTTCACAAACATTCCCAGCAACACTGGAAGCGGAAACAACGGTAAGGGCAAATACATGAAGACACAAACAGGGCAGGGAAAAGTTTAATAACAGAGTGCTTTCTTTTAGAAAAACAGCTCTTAAGAAATACAAGCCCACAGAGTGCTTTCTTTCAAAAAAAAAAAAAAAAAGACAACAACTCTCAAAGGAAAAAAACAACAGTAGTGAGTGACGGAGCGTTGGAAAAGAACAAGGCCCGGAGTGGGAAAATAAACAAAAAACGCGGGCATGGTAAGGAAGGACACTGAAATAAAAGTAGAAATTAGTAAAGAAAGGAAGAGGTCAGGGATCAGAAACAACCCGCAACGACTAACCTCACTCTTCTGGAGGGTTGAGCTCA